CACTCACCTCAGCCTCCCAAAGGCATGGGATTACAGGCTGAGCCACCAAGCCCGGCTTTTACACACTGCTTTTAATCAGATATTATGCATATTCATCTAGGTGCTTCCTAAACATCTCTAGCTTTTGTTCCTTTTTTTACCTGAACCTCAGCATGTCATCTTCTTTTCCCTCTAAACTTGCTTTTTTTTTTTTCTTTACCCCATTGGTGGCATCACCAGGCTCCTAAGTCAAATATGACTTCTCTTTTCCACCCAGCCGTTCCCTAAGTTTTGGTGATTTTCTTACCACCCTTGCTCTAGTGTAGGACCTCAGCTTCTCTTGCCTGCACTTGGTAAACAGGACAGTTTCTTGGACTTCTAATTTTTCTACTTTAACCTCATCTACCACCTGGTTACCAGGAGTGATCTGTTGAAAATACAGATTCTAAAGCCTTTGAATGATTTTCATAATTTACTAAATAAAGTCTGAGCTCCTTAATGTGGTCTGTAAGACCCTCTAAGATCTTGCTCCCTGTGTATAACTGGCCTATGTCTTATCACTTTCTGTCAGAAGTGTGCTGCTTTGGCAACACCATTTGACTGTTTTACTTACAACACCCCTTTCTGCTTGAATTAATTCTCAACCTGAGCCCATTTCTTCTGTTAGTTCAGCCATTCATTATTTTTCCTTGGAACTAATGCACATACTATGAATTAATCTATTTTCCTTCAGATCTGCTTTCCCTCTATTCCATTCATAACATTTCTGCCAAAGTAATCTTACAGAAATTTCAATTTGATCATGTAATCCTCCTTAGAATTCTTTATTGGCTTCCTGATGTCTTAATAATTTGGATCTACCTACCCTGCTTTCCTCTCCTTTCCTACCTTTCATCTCTCCATAAATATTTGAATGCCTCTTATTAGCCAACCTTTTCAACCTCATCACTGGTGTCTTCCCCTAGGAATTAATTAGATGCTTCATCCATATAAAACTGTTTATAATTTCTTGACTTTGTCCTGCTTTTTATGTGACTATGCCTTTGAGCAAGTTGTGTAAACTCTGCCTAAAATGGTTTTTACCACTAACCTACCCTATCTGCCTCAGTCCTTATTTTCTAATTTCTCCTTCAAAGTTCAGTACAACTGTCACCTACTGCTTTCCGTGGGGTTTTAAAGATACTTCCATTTTAAGCATACTCTTTAAATTTAATTGTAATTAATCAATTTTTAATATCTGTTTTCCTCGTTATACCATAATCTTTTAAAGCCATACTTGTTCATTATCTAAGCATGTTATAGTGCTTTTTATGTGTTTGTTGAATGAACCAGTGAATGAATGAAATAGACAACAAAGTTTACCTGCCTAGAGGTCAAACTTCAGGAACATCATCATACTTAAATCAACTTGGCCAAAGAACCTGCTGGTTGGGAACGGTAATCATTGCTAACTTTTAGGACATGCACACTTCATCTGAAGTTCATGTTTCTATTTAAGAGGGTTCTGATCTAGATGGGAGTCTTTTAGCTTTTACTTTTGGACCTAACTCTGCCACTCATTGGCTGTTTGCAGGGAAGTCTCATCAACTCCCAGAACTTATTTCATCATGTGTAGTCGAAGGCACTCTCTGCTCTAGTGCACTGAATACTATAAAACATGTGAAAGGTAGATGATATTATACAGTTCGTCAAATTTAAAATGTACTACTTCTTGTTTCCTTTGTGATGTCCAAAGGACTGCTTACCAACTCTTCCACATGTTTACTTATTTAAAGTCCAATTTTTATGGACTTACATACATGAGTTACTTAAGTTACTTACATAACGTTCAGAGTAAAAACAGTTGTACTTAGTGAGTTCAGAAGGATGGGATGCCCAGTCTGATTGTTATAAACGAGTCAACTTTCTGTGATTAAACATGAAAGGGGCTAATGAAATTATATTTATTCTTTGCCCACCTTGGACTCTAAGTGCTTTCTGGTTAAAAACAAAACAAAACAAAAAAAACTTGATAGTTATAATAACTCTTTTAATGATTGGAAGGAGAGTATAATTTGAAGAATTTGTATTTATGTGTCACATTTCTGGCCATTTTGTATTTTTTGTTGTATTTTACGTAGTTTGAAAGCATTAACAAGTGAAGATACAACTCATCCATAATTTTAGCAGTTAAATAAATATGGTTGGCTTGTTAAACTTATTTTGAAGAGTGTGTATTTATTTATAAAACGGTGTAGCAATAATTTATCTAACCCAAATCATGAAATGCTTTCCTAAAAAAAAAGGTAGCTTGTCATAAACATCACAGAATTTTTTCTGTGTTTTTACCAAAATTGTAGTTTTAGGATGAAACGATAAAAACAAAATAATTATTCTTTTCTACCTTAACGAAACTAGTAGATTTTGGGAATAAAGAGGGAAAGAATTAATACTTGGGTAAATTACCTTGCATAAAACCTCTGAAATTTCCATTAGGTAAAATGTAATTAGAAGTTCAGAAATGGCCTTTTTTGAGACCAGAAGAGAATGACACAGTATTAAAGCATTTTAAGGATGCAAGCTCCCTTAGTTTTCTAACAAACTAAATACAGTATTTATGAGTAGAATCAATACAGTGCGATACTTGGGGTGCAGTGAGCTTTTAAGACCCATTGGTTTACCACAGAATAGCCTCAGAATGGAGTATTGTTTGTTTTCAGCTCATATCATGTGTGGTGTTTTTTTGTTTAAATATTGTCAGAGTGTCACTGTAGAGAGAAAATTATAACCATTTGAGCCTTCTGTTTCTAATGAGAATGTTCTTTTGCTTTGGAAGAAGCATTCCTGTTTGGTTTAAATATTCAGACTAATTTCCCCCCAGAATTAGCTCTTCCCCCTTTCCCTTCCAGCGCCCAAGCATCCTGTTTTCACCAGGCTTGCTGTCTGCCCTGGATGACTAATCGTCATGGCACCTGGTGCATTGAGGCAGGCCTGTGCAGCGGAATCGTCATACCTAGTTATGTCTGCACACCTGATGTTTTATTAACCAGTATTGATTTTTTTACCCTGGGGACTTTTTTCTTCCTGAAAAAAGGCAACCTTGCAGGAGTGAAAGGCGTTGCAGGGGATGAATTTCTAATGAACCCCTTCTTTTCCTTTTTGTGACTCCTCTTTAATATAGCTTTATATTTTAAGTGCCTGAACTGAAATTTCATTTTAAGCAATTCTATTTTGATAAATCTTTTTAAATCTTGACTTTCTATAAGGTTATTTTTTAAAGGTTGTGCTGCTTGACTGAAACGCTTAGTAGTGCCTGTAAATTTGAGCATTTCATTATGGGTTGCAATGAAGCATGCTCGCATGCAATGAAATACAGAAAATTTTGGACTATTTGAGTAATGCTTAAAGAAATGAAAAGGAAGAAAACTCTCATGTCATATTTCAGGTAGTCCTGAGGTTTCTTCTGGTTTATTTAGGATTAGTTCAAAGAATTAGAGACTCAGTGGGAGTTATGAACTAGTTTTATATCATATAGTGAATAGTAGCTCAACAGTTATTTTATGACAGAAAAAAATTCTTTTTTTTGCATCAGAATATAAACATTTGCACTCAATATTATACATTAATTTTTTTTTTTTTTTTTTTTGAGTTGGAGTCTCACTCTGTCACCCAGACTGGAGTGCAGTGGCCGCTCCCGGCCACCGCAGCCTCGACCTGCTGGACTCCGGCGATCCTTCCGCCTCAGCCTTCCGAGTAGCCAGAACTACAGGCATGCGCTACCACGCCCAGCTGATTTTTGGACTTATTGTAGAGATGAGGCGGGTCTCGAACCCGCGGGCTCAGGCAATCCACTCTCCTCAGCCTCCCAAAGGCGCAGGATTACAGGCTGAGCCACTGAGCCCGGCTTATACATTAATTTTTATAGAGGAATCCTAGCTAACCAATAGTATAACCTGAGTTTTTTGTCTTCTCAATATGACATATATTTTCCATTCTAAAAAATATTTTGTTGTTTGTGTGCATATGTGTAACTTAAATAGCAGCACAGATTTACACACTTGCCATAAATTAGTGGAAGTCTCTTAATCGTTCCCGTCTCACTTTGAGTTCAGCTGTAGCTTGGTCGTGCTTTCACAGCTGCATTTTTAGTTTTCCTGCTGCAGTCCATCAGGCATTGTGTACAGCCTGCATACACACCATTAGTTGTCAGTAGATGAGGGTCCTCATGAGTCATTTTGACAGTTAGCTTGCACTATCACAGTAAAGTAGGCCTTATTCTGTTGTTTTCCTGAAGCTGGTAACAAGCCTTCTCCAAGGAATGCGTGTCTCTGAGACATTGCAGATCACTTATGCATTAAGCTTCTTGACTCTGAAAATGGTTTTATTACTATTTATATATTAATAGTACATTAATTAACTGACCACTTTGTTCTTCTTCCAGTTTTTGGCACTGGGCACTCATTATGGCAAGGTTTATTTACTTGATGTCCAGGGGAACATCACTCAGAAGTTTGATGTAGTAAGTATACAGTATAAAATGTACAAACGAAACTTCATGCTAAAATTTTATTTGTGTTTTAGAATGTTAGTTTTAGCAGTTTGTTTTATTAGCATAAGATTGGTCTTTATTAATTATATCAGAATGCTAAGAGTATTAATCTGTACTTCATAATATGTTCTAAAAATTTAAAGGTAAACTTATAAAGGAAGAGGTCATAGACATGTGTATTATATATTTTTACTGGGTATCTTTTATATACAAACTCCATGTAAAAATCTATTTTCATAAATCTATTTAATTGTAAAACTTTAGTTAATTATAGTTATCCATTGACATTAACTTGGAGTTCTTTGAATATGTCTATGTGTGTTCTTTTTGAAGTGTAACAATGTCTAGATGAATTGTTATTAAGAGAAAAAATGCTGCTTTGTTAGTGAATAATTGTGCTAATTTACATACTCTGGGAGTTTGTGGAATCTTTAAATTTTGAACTTCCTCATTTGGTGAATAATGTCAGTTGTTAGCACATGCCCTGTCATTTTATTGAGATAACAAATGTGATTGAAAATTGACTGATCACCTTGCTAGATCACTTTATCTCTTCTAAATGTATAAAGCTAAAATATTATATACAAATGTTTGATGCTTGGACTCTCAGGGGATTATATTGATTGAAAGCAACAAACCAGAATTTTTTTTTTTAATTGTGATTTGGAATCATCGAGGATGAAGGACTTGTTGAATTTGAAGCTTGATTTTGGTGTTTAAGGTGTACTTTAAAAGTATCAAGAACTTCCATGGTTGTATAAATAAGAACATTTTGGGTGAAAAGGGTGATTATTTTCAGGGACAGATATTACTTTTTTGAAGAAAGTGTCAGCACTTGTTGAAAGATCCATCATAAGATATTGTAGTTTATAAAGGAGATTACAGTTTCTGAAGCTGACATATTGTTTATGAAAGGAAAAGGAATGTCTTGTCTTGCTGGAAAGAAATGGAACTATGGAATGATGACAGAATCTTTGGAGCCTTTCAGAAGGGAAAAGAATATGGTCTAATTATTCTGATACATCAGGCAAATTGTTGGTTCTTGTTTTTCTTTAGCTTCTCTTTCAGGCAAGGGATATACTTTTGATCCTGCCTCTTCTACCTCCTGGACATTGGGTAGACATTTTAATGACTGAAGCATTTGGTCTTTCAGTTGCCATCCATTAAAATGTGTAGCTAGTGCCGGTCTAGGAATTTTTTTGTCTGTGGTCTTGTGCGTGCCTCTTCACCTTTAAAAAAACCTTACCTGTATGGTTTCTTAAATTTCCTGCTCTAGTTAAATGAGTCTCTGACACATTTATCTTTTTGATACTGTATGGAAATTGCAGTGCTTGCTGTCTAAGGTTCATGGGCACGTACCATGGTTTCATCACCAAGTCAGTCTTTGTATGTATTCATGTGAGCCTTTGGTTATAGCTTCTCTGATGTCAGTTTTACATCAAGTACATCCTACATCCACCCTCTTTCAAGTAATTTATGGCATCATTCATAAATTTGCCCAAATCTTTCTTCAGTTCTTTTTCAGTCCTGCCTGTATGACATCTTTGAAAATTAAGCTCTCTATACCTTTACACCTTTTTTTTGGCAGGAGAAAAAGATATTTTTGTTTGTTTGCATTACCCAAGAAATTGATAGTCTATTGTTAAAAAGTTTTTCAAGCCGGGCTCGGTGGCTCAGCCTGTAATCCCGCGCTTTGGGAGGCTGAGGCGAGTGGATTACCTGAGCCCGTGGGTTCGAGACCCGCCTGGGCAACTTGGCGAGATCTCATCTCTACAGTAAATCAAAAAATTAACTGGGCGTGGTAGCGCACACCTGTAGTTCCAGCTGCTGAAAGGCTGAGGCAGAAGGATTGCCGGAGCCTAGCAGGTTGAGGCTGCAGTGGCCGGGAGTGGCCACTGCACTCCAGTCTGGGAGACAGAGTGAGACTCCAACTCAAAAAAAAAAAAAAAAAAAAGTTTTTCATAAGGTCACAACTTCTTCATGATCATCATATTAGGTAAATGACTTTCAAGTGACAAGTTTGAAATTATCATTATTTTTTGAAAGAAATCTTAACCTTATGTCTGATGAGATTTCTTTCTTTCTCCCTTTCTTCCGTTCTCCTTCTCTCCCTCTCTTCTTTCCTTTCTTTTGTCAAGGTCTCACTCTGTTACCCAGGCTGGAGGGCAGTGGCACAATCACAGTTCACTGCAGTCTCAACCTTCTGGGCTCAGGTTATCCTCCACCTCAGCCTCCCAAGTAGCTGGGATTACAGGAATGTACCACCATTTCTGACTAATTTTTAAATTTTTATTATTTTTGTAGAGATGAGGACTTGCTATATTGCCTAGGCTAGTCTCAAGTTCTTGAGCTCAAGCAGTCCTCCTCCTCAGCCTTCCAGAGTGCTCAGATTACATGCTTGAGCCACTGTGCCCAGAATGAAAAATTTTTTTCTTTGTTATTTTATTTTCTTGCTTTTGATGATGTGGTTGCTTTTTAAGGCTTTATATTATTCGTCCTAAGAAGGGATTCTTTCAATTCTAAAAACATTGTTTTGACTTGAATTTGCTAATTTTCATTGAATGGAATGGTTACCGTATTGAATCAAGAACTTTTCTTTTTATTAGAAACGCAATAAGGGAGAAGCAAACATTTTTTAAAAATTAATGAACACCCCTGACTTTTGTTTTCACTTTCTGGTGAAAATTATTTAAGCAAATTAAAATTAAATTAAATAATACCTTATATTTACGTAACACTTTTAATTTTTCCATGAAATAGCTTTGAATCTATTTATTGCGCTTATAGTTTTGATTCTGGTAATAAAGTTATGAAGTGGTAGTCCCTAATCCTCACCAGTCAATAGGGTTTTGTTTGGCAGAGTGTGGGAACATCAAGGAATCACTATTTTTAAAAGGTTTCCCAAGTAATTCTGATACTTGAATTGGGATGCAATCACTGCAATAAAAGGTGTCTAAATTTGCTTTAAATATATGTTATATATAAAGAAAAATAAATCATTCTGCATGTTAAAGATATTTCTTTTTCCATTAATGTTTCAGGAGAAATGCCATTTGGCAGAATCTACTAAAGATAAGCATATGTCTCCCTAATGACCTAGCAGCTGCACTCCTAAGTACATATTCAAGAAAAATGTATGCAATGCATGTGTCTACAGAAAACATGTAGAAGATGTTAATAGTAGCTTATTAATAATAACTGCAACTAGAAACAACCCAAATGTTCATTGCCTGGTGACATTATAGCTGTCGTCAAGCTGTAGCATAATACAGTATTCATCTGTTAGTGGTAGAATGGATAAATAAATTGTGGTGCATTCTTAGTAATTAAAAAAAACTATCTATTGATACATTCAGCAGCATAGATGAATTCACAGGCTTAATGTTCAGCCAAAGAAGCCAGACACAATGTATGATAACTTTTATATGATGGTCAAGAAAAGGAAATAAAACTCTCATAATAGAGGTCAAATACTGGTTAAATCTGGGAGGGAGCACATGGGAATCTTCTGTAGTACTGAAAATATTTTGTCTTGATGGTTTTCCAGATTTATAAATATGTAAAAATTCCTAAACTGTATATTATAGATCATTGCACTTTATTCAATATGAGATTTACCTCAGTAACATGCACACACTTGCACAAACACCTATACATGAGTATGTATCCTTGGTTGACCTTGAGCAAAGCTCAAATTATCCTTGTCAAAACAACCCTTTCTACTACTTCTTAATACCACCACATTTTCTAGATTGGTATCTTGTATAGGGATCTTTACGTAAATGAATCATGCCATTGAGGTTATTCCCACAACTGTATATTTTTCTATAATTACATAAAAACTTTGATAAAAAGGATGCTGTGTTATACGACAGGTAGGACCCCAAAACACTGGAATTATTTTTTGGGAGGTGGGCCCCTTGTAGTTCAGGCTTCTCCTACTAGGTAAAAGTGTTCTAGGAATCCATTGACATCAGTGTACCAGCTAGTGTTGTTGTGAGAGGCTGGGTTCGGCTTCAGTGAATTTTGTTTTGAGATTCTTTGAGTGCGTTTGCCCATTTCATGATGGATGATTTGTGAGCACACCTGCCCACACCATGCTCAATGTTCTGCAGTTTTTGATCACAAACAATATGACCCCCGTGCCCCATTCTCCTGATCTTGCCTTGAGCAACTTTTGTTTGTTTGTTTCCCCAGATGAAAAAAGTCCTCAGAGGGAAACATTTTGCCAACGTGGAAGAGGTGAATCAAAAAAAATGACAGAAGCACTAAAAGACATCAAAATTGATGAGTTAAAAAAACTGTTTTGAGATCTGGTGCAGTGACTCACGCCTGTAATTCCAGCACTTGAGAGGCCTAGGCAAGAGGATTGCCTGAGCCCAAGAGTTCGAGAACAGCCTGGGCAACATGGTGAGACCTTGTCTCTAAAATACATCAAGAAAAATTAGCCAGATGTGACGCACACCTGTAGTTCCAGCTACTTGGAAGACTGAGACAGAAGGATCACCTGAGCCCAGCAGGTTGAGGCTGTGGTGACCGTGAGCATGCCACTGCACTCCAGCCTGGGCGACAGAGTGAGGACTGACTCAAAAAGAAACCAAACAAACTCTTTTGAACAGTAGAAAAAGTATCTCAGTAGGTTTATCATATTAAGTGGAGAGTACTTTTAAGGTGACTGAAGTTTAAATATGTAAGAATAAATACACATTTTTTTTTTCTTTTTTTGAGTTGGAGTCTCACTGTGTCGCCCAGACTGGAGTGCAGTGTCATGCTCCCGGCCACCGCAGCCTCGACCTGCTGGGCTCAGGTGATCCTTCCACCTCAGCCTTCCAAATAGCCGGAACTACAGGCGCATGCTACTGCGCCCAGCTAATGTTTGATTTATTGTTGAGACAAGGTCTCACCAAGTTGCCCGGGCGGATCTCGAACCCGCGGGCTCAGGTAATCCACTTGCCTCGGCCTCCCAGAGT